GGAAGACTATTAATGGAGTAAATCAATGTAACTTTCTAACAGTAATTATGCTTGATATGGAAATCTTTTCCTATAGTCATGATCTGATGTCATGATTACAGAATTTGCTCTGTTAGCGAACCTCTAATCTCACTAAGTGGGAACCATGAACCTCTAATCCCACCACCCAAAAATTACTTTGCCTCTGTACCTCTCAACCACTCTCAGGCCATGATGCTGGGGTTACCTCAGTGTGGTCTCTGTCTGAAGATCCTGTTACTGTGAATTTTCTCTTCAAGTGGTAATTAATCTAGGTGTATCACATAGTTTCTCTGGTTTAGTATGCCCTGAGTTTGCTACCATGGGGGTGAATTTTCTATGTCTAGTCTGACATCCAGTTCAGACAGCTGAATAGTCCTAATAGAGTCAACATATAAGCTTCAATTTAAGAATGCTCTTCATGTCATTTGTTCACCAGAGTGCTCATGATGAGGTCAGGATATTGACTGAATTATATCTTGAGCTGCCTGGAATCAGCATGGTTCATTGTTTTATCCCATTTGCAGGAATGCCACAATTATTGAGTGGGCTACCTTTGACCTCTAGCTCATGGGGTAAGTAAAAGCCATCTGTGTAACACTGAGGCAAGAGTTTAAATGAAAAAAAAAATAAAAAAAAAAAGAGTTGAGTCAATATTCAAAAATAATCATCCCAATCAAGACAATATGGGAGCTAGTGACATAAATTTCTAAGTTTGGAAATGGGGAATGGTCATAGACTTCTTCAGTATTAACTTCCCAGGCCTTGAAAACCCGTTTGTTTAGCAGTAGTGAGAGAAGATGAAACGTAAGACTTGCTTTCTTGTGAAGAAAAAAAGTGCTTTTCCTCCATCCCCCTCAAAACACTTAATGTTTTTGTTACAGTTTTCCTAAGAGTGTATTTTTCAGATACTAACGAGGAATAAAAGAAATATAAAATAGCATGACATAAAGCAGAAACATACAGTGAAAAAAAATTCTGCAATGGTAATCATGTCACAGCATAATATTTGTTTGGTATACGAGGCAGTCTTAGTACATTGGTTTTTTTCCCCGGAGTTTTAATGTCTTTTTTCTTTACAACTGTTAATTTGAGTTACTCTTAATTTGTCATTAATTTTTTATTTTGCTGTTATAGACATTGTGCATAAAGTATACACAAATAAGTGGAACATCACCCTTGCTATTGCTCTTTAGTTTTAAAATGAACTGTGTTATGCTATGATATCTTAAAATTTATCCAAATTCACCACCTAAGAATTGAAGAAAAAAATCACAGAATTATTTAGGTCGGAAGGGACCTTCAAAGATCACCTAGACAACCTCCACACCATGGGTGGGGACATCTTTTACCAGATCAGGTTGCTCAAAGCCCTGGCCAATAGGAAATGTCCACTTGAAACCAAATGTAGAAAATAAGCAGATGTAACAAAATTAAACATTATCTCCAAGCACTTAGAAACAGTATTACTGGGACTTACAGGGATTACATCTCACCTAAGAGAAAGTACCTGCCACAGCAATGATTTCCAATAATGATCAAAATTAATCCTTGGGCTGACAGCCAACACAAATCCTATACATAGTTTAAAAACTTAAATAGACAGTTCAGTGGGACTCTACATTAGTAGCAGTGTGGTTACAGGGCTGATCTACACTCAGGAGTGAACTTAGCACAGATTGGAGTATTACTTTAGTGCTGGCTGAAGGAAGGAATAGGAAACAAGGCTTCCCTTTCCCTGTATCACTTCCCTAAATCCCACATGATTTTCCTGGAAGTTCTGTTATCTGTGTTCTGCCCCCTCTTTGTTTATGACGTCTGTCAGAGAAGTTACCAGCTGAGGAGGTATAATTTACTTGCTGATGCATGGAATTAAAGCCAAGATATATGCTCAGGAGACAGCAATTTTCCATCCATGGATGGTTGAAATTTCAACTGTTAAATGAATCCCAACTAGATTAGTCAGAAAGGCTACTTGGTTTCTTTTAAACTACAGAGTTTGAAACTGAGTCTCTTGCTATGAAGCAGTAGCATTTTTTTTAAGAAATAAGCAGTTTACGTTACATCACCTGCTGAAGATTAAATATTTTATGCACCTTTGCTTAATGTTTGCTTGTGACATTGGAAGATAACAGATTTTCTGTTGAAAAGCTTCAAGCACCTGCTTGTATTTTCTGAAAGAATTCTTAACTTTCATTAAATGTGGACTGAAAATGAGCCACTTGGGCAGCAGCTTTTCTGCCATTCTCAGAGTTTCCAAGCTGTGAATTCACAAATACTGAAACACTCTCAGAAGTTCACTGATTTTAAAACCCGTACACCCTGTCAAACAGTCTCAGATTTTCTATTTGTTTGTAAATGACTATAAAGATACAGATCAATTTCTTTAATGCCTGGTGCATTTGACTCACTTTATGGATTAAGAATCTCCAAGTAGTTAGAAAGGGGTATGTTTCAGCTGTCAAAAAAAAAATTGATTTTTTTTTTGGTCAGGCTTTCTTTTATTGATTGACAGCTTAACATTTATCAGCTAGAACAGTTTATGGGTGCCATTTTGTGAACTGATATTTTAGAGGTCAAGCTAATGCACCAAGTAGTTTTGTTTGCATTTCTAAAACTGATCTTTGCTGGGCCATCATTATTATCTCCTTTTACCTGCTTTCAGAGCTCAGAATGTAATACACGCAGTGAAAAGTAACTATGAAAATCTCTTGTTACAGCCTTTACCCATAGCTTCTGAACAATAATTTATTTTTTTAAAAGCGGAAAGGGCTGTGATGACATCTCTTTGGGGTTTTTTGCTCTTTCCTTTCTACCTGAATCCAGCAGCCTTGAAATATGAACAGGACCATCTAGCTAAGTATCTCTAAACATGCCCGTCAAGTCAAGCAATTTTTTTTTTAATCATTCCAAGAGTCAAACATAACAGTATTCCAGAAATGAAAGATTTTATTAATGAGCTGTTTCTACTAATCACATGACAAATTCTTACATTTTAAATGTGTCAGCAACATTTATCAAGCTGTTTCCCTATGCAAATTTGCCATTTTTCGGTGCCTTTGGCTGTGAACTAGCAAGCACAAGCACTGAAATAGAGTATAATATTAAAAATTCAAAGACAAAAAAGGAGGAAAAATATTTAAAAACTCTCAAAAGCAAAGAAAGCTGAGACACCAGAGCCATGGACATCACAATTTATTCCCACAGTTGTGATAACAAACATTACCTTGCAATACTTGGTATACACTAACCCATTAATCTGTATTCCTGCTCAACAAAGAGCTACTGAAGTACATGAGAGTGAATATGTGTGTGACAACTGGCATTTCTTAGACCTTATAATTGTTAAAAACACTTGATAACAGTGTGCAATCTCTGGTATTGTTTCACAAAGACAGCCTCAGTTGTTTCCTGTGACTCCGTATTTATAATTATATTTTCATTAAACTGAGCTCTCTGTTAGCTGCTGACTTCACAAGTTGTTTTCAGGCTGCAGCTGAAAATTTTCTAAACTAGTATCAAGGATGGACATGCAAAGCCAAAAGACAAATGCCTTGTCAACTGGAAATAATGTTCCAGCAAGTCTGCATTTAAAGGGTAAAAAACTTATGGGCAGTAAAACAGAAGATTAAAAAGGCAGATTTCTTACTGCTAACTAGCAGCAATATACACTGGCTGGAGGTAATTTTCAGGTGAGGCCAGAATAGAGGCAATTAACAGAGGAGAACAAAAGGGCTACTTCTGCAGCTGGAATCTGCACCAAATAGCCCTTTGGTCAGGGTGAAAGTAAGGTAGACTGATAGGACAGATTCTTGGAGTGGGATGCAAAGGGCAAATCAGTGTCATGACAGTGCTGACAAGAGGGCATGTATGTAAGCCAATGGTATTTTGTGGGCATCTGGATGACAATTTTACACACATTTTTTACAGCTACCTTGGAGTTGAGAATAGGAAACATGGAAACATAAATCTGAATTAATTATTTAATTATCAATGTAACTCAACTCTCATTTATCTCCAGTGAGAAGTAGTGGTTTGTTTTGGGATTTTTTTTCCATTTAAATGGCATCCATTCAACTTCAGTGCATTTTGCCTAAGCATGACCTAAAGACCTAAATCTGTTGCTAATTCAAGTGAATTTTCCTGTTTGTATTTCATAGACAAGCTGTTAGAAAATCTTAGTACACTAGTATGTTTGCCATTTTCATTGCTCCAAGTGGAAGTGGGATGAAGTTTATTGGAATGCACAGACACTGTACATGCTGTGTGGGTTACAGTACTACCAGTACCCATTAGAGTAGATTTAATAGCTGATCAGGAAGATGATTTGAATGAAAAAAAGTTATTGCTTTTATTTTAAATCCAGATCTGTTCACAGAAGCAGATTTCTTCACTGGACTGAGGAGGTGGTAATCTGGGTGATGGGCAGAGGGGAGAAAAGAGAGGAGGGTGCTTGAGTGGAGGCATCTTTTCATTTAAATCTTTGGCAACTGGAACAGCCTGGCTGCCTGTGGTCCTACTTAAAATAATAGATATGATTTATAGATAATATTTTAAATAAATATGATTGAAGTTTGATTTAGATTGTTTCTAGAACCACGAGGTAAAACTGTCTCTGTTGCCTGTTAAAAAATATTAGTTCTTGAGTGGCATTCTAATCAACTAACAACAAAATTTGTTTTTCAGGCTAAGTCCATGGGGACATAGGTTATGCACTGTTTTGTACAGTATCTGGCATGACTGTTCTTCTACCAGGCACAAACTTCTCTGTGCAACTGCAATATAATCAGTGTATGTTTGCAATTTCCTCTCTCCACTCCAACATCCTACTTTCATGTTAAAATTACTGGTATGAGGGTTAAGGCAAATTAGTTATCTTATTGTCCTTAAATATAGTTGAAAAGATCTTTTATTTCCCCTTGCTTTACCTTAAAGAGAGTAAAGAAAGTCAGAGGTTTTCACACTCTTTCCCTCTCTCCTAGGAAACGGATCTCATGACCTTTAACATCTCAATGCACCGCTCTTGGTGGCGGGAACATGGACCCGGCTGTATACGAAGGGTGGTTCGTCCTTCTGCCCCTGGTGTCCTAGAGGATTACTCCTACGTCTCTGTGACAGGCTGCATCATTGATTTCCAGTACCTAGAGGTCATTCACAGTGCTATCCAAATACTCCTCTCTGTAAGTTCATGTTTCTTTTTGTACTGGGATTCCTCAGTCCTTTCACATGCAGCCTGCTGGAAGGGGGATGTAGTAGTTGATGTATAGCTGCACAGACTTTTGATTGTATTTTGAATTAGAGAATTATATACATGTTATTAAAATGTGCACTGCTCTTTTCCTTCCCTATATCTTGTCAAGCTCAATAGAGGCATAGTCTCCATTCTGGCCTCTGCTGGGACAGGTGAAAATTAACTCAAGTTCTTGGCTCTCATTCATTAAGGCGTGTACAGCAAAGGAGAGTAGGCTTGACCAAAATTAATTTTCCTAAATCTTTCTAAAGTTCACAATGATGGCATTTATTCAGCCCTGAATGTAAATATATTTTTCATGATACATGGCTAAGTTTCTTCCCAAAGTGAGATATGGACGTAATGCTTGAAAAGGGTCAGAGAAGTATTAGGAATTAAAGTACGCATTCATATGTTATTTGTTCCTTCCTGGAACTCTGTGTTATCAGAATATGCTGCTTCCATGGTCCACAATTGTTGCAACACCAAACAAAAAAATGCAGTAAGAAGTTGTTATAAAAAGCCTGCAATGCGGGGAACTGCTGGGGCGTATATTGCTTTGGGAGCAAAAGCCACAGTCTTTCCTCAATCTGTTGGCTGCTTCTGCTTGTGATTAACAAGATGTTTGTCATGAGCTGTGTGTGATCTCCCAGGTGGTAGCTCTTTCTCTACATAGCTGTGTGTAGCACATTGCAATTGGCTAACCCCAAGTGATTGCATATAGGATCGATCACCCCAGATGCCCAGACCTATTTTGAGAACATAAATGTTTGTGAATTGAGAATATATGTGCTCATGCTAACCATGGCTACTAGTACTTGTCAGACAGTGGGAGAAGAGATGCATTCTGCAGTCCACACCTGCTAGTCAGGTGAACTATGTCTGAGCAATCAGAAAGGATAGATATTCCTGGTCTGTTCAGTACTTCAAGCTTTTACTAACTGACTGGTAAATGCTACCACTTGCAAAGTAAAAGGGATCTTCAGAATAAATCTCACTCATTAGTTTAAAATTATTTTCAAATTTTAATTTTTACATTTTTTCAAGATAAGGACATTCTCTTTCAAAAGAAAAAAAATCAGTATATGTGCTTATGTCTGTCATCCTGCCCAGCTGTCTGAAAGTTCAAGATAATTTCTCTGCAGTACTACATGCCTTTTATAAGATGTCAAGTGCTTTTTCTTTGCCACTACTTTTAATCAAACTTGGATAAACTTGTACATCTCTGATTAATGAAATTCCACTTGAAAATCCAGGTCTGAATTATTGCACTTAGTTTACACATCACTGACATCGCATCTGCCTATACAAGAATGTGTCTGCTCCTGGTCTATCAGCTTCCCAGGCATCAGTGACCTCACAAGCACCTACACAAGCCTTCTCCTGCCTGCCTTTCATTCAGGCAGCAAAAGGCTTTGAGTCACGATCTTTTCCAGTGAAGACAATATTACTTCTTTTGCAACCCAACCCTGCGTATGCCAACATAAATCATGAAGTTTCTGTGAAAGTGTGCCTTCCAGATGAACTCTGCGCACTGTATCTGTGAAGCTTAACTGAATGCTTCTTCCTTACTTTTGTGGGGGCCTGCTACTGAAAGCAGGTTGCTTCTCCCATGAGTTCTTCATTTGCAGCACATTTCTCACAACGCAGTGTTTTTCACTCTGCATCAGTGAGTCTGCAGAAGGGAAACTGAAGTGTCATTAGTTTAAAAGGCGAACAGAAATATTTTAAATACTCCACTTCTATAAGAAAAGATGTATTCTATAAGAAAAGATGTATTCTCTTAAAATTTTTTTCTAGCATTTTTGTGATTATTAACCAATTGAGTGTTCGGTGGAAATACAGCTGGTTGTTGAAATCAGGAACTGTTTTCTTCTGCAATTAATGGTGCGGTAGAGCTCTGGTTAAATGACAGGAGCACAGATATTGATATTATAACAATAGAATAAACCTGATTAATATATACAAACTAAGAGAAATATTAAAATTTAAAAAGTATAGAAATTATGTAATAATTATAAATCATAAGAAGTAACTGGTCTTCCCTTTCTGAAGGAGTGACTGATTGCCATTCTGGATACAATTCACTGCAAATGTGCCAGGAACTTATAAGGCATGACTATGCATTAAAGAGTTGCAGTTTCAGATACTGCTTTCACTGATATACACAGTATTAAAATTAAAATACTGTACACAAAGGAAGGTTTTCCTCCAGTTTCACTGTCTTGCTATCCCATCTGTGACATGTTATGATTAACATACCATGAGTCTGTACTTCAGTTTCCATTCTGAATTGTAATTTAGGCTTGTTTCATTTACTGTCACACAGGACAAAAGTCACCACGTAGATTAATAAATTTATTGCAGTTTGCTCCCATTTTCTGAGTACTGTTGACCTGAGGAAGTTCACATCCATTTTGGATACATAACAGCTTTCCTAATTGGGGTACCAATATCAATTGTTAGTTAAAAGGTCATTTAAGTTGTCTTTTCAAAGTACTGAAGGACTGTAGATCAGAAGATCATTCTTTTTTTCCTTTTCCTAGTAGCTAGTCCCAAAAGCAGCCTATTCCTTTTTGGATCTTACAACCTACTTAATTTTCATAACATTTTTATGTAGCGGTAGTCACATAACAAACCATTTTACAGTGTAACAAAAAACTTTATCATGCTAACCCTTGTCCAAATGACTGGGAATGTGAACACTTCCATTTGGTAGGAAATTAGAGACTCTGTGAGAAGAAATCCCTCCAGGGGTAAATATTGGATACCTGTTGAGATATATAACTCACTAGTAGCATTTTTGAAAGGTGATTTTTTTTTTTAAACTGATATAAAGATTTTTATATGTACAGAATGCAGCAGTTGTGACTACATTAGACCCTGCTTTAGGGAATGGGCTTGGCATCCATTTATTTAATTCTAACACAGTAAAGCTCTTTTTGTATCTGCTTTATAGTTGTTTCTAAAAAAAAATCTTTTATTGGTGGAACAGTGACTTTATACCTCATCCTGATTCTGGGTGGCTATTTAGGTGATCAGGAGTTGAAGATATTAAACATTTCTTTAAATTATGAGAGACTGGTTTTCCCTACACTGTAAATCCAGGCAAAGATGTGATATAGGGAGATTAGGAATATTGAATTTTTCCATGGTGAAGTAAAAAGCATTGAGCATATCTGCCTAAGGTAAAGTTATCAGTGGGGAATAGCTTATCACATACACTACCAAGCACAAAACAGAGTCAGAAAAATGTATTATTTTCTGCAGAATGTAATGAAGTTGTAATATCACAAGTATAAAAAAAAGCCAAATTGGGAACTGGATAGTGTGGTCACTGTGAGTCTGCATGATACTCCTGCAAGCTGGATAGACTTCCTCTGTACACATAATTAAGCATGCTGAAGGAACTGGATACTGAGGCCAACAGGGCCAAAACAACTCGTGTTTCTGCTGATGGTCTCAGCTTCCAAATCATGCTGGTGCTTTCAAGCCATTCAACAGGAATAATCCCTGGGATTGTTCACTTGATTAAAACTGTGACTGGGAACTGTGAGTGGAGAGTGGTGGCTACAGCAGGCCAACCTCTCACATGTGTAATGGCGTGGGTTACAGCATGCCAGTGCCAGGAATGCTCCCAGGCATTTATTCCTCAATATGGACTGAGGCAGGATCTTGGCAGGAAGTAGATAGTTGGTCTATTTACCCACAGGGGTGTAGAAGAACATATGATTTTTTAAATCTCTGCCAGAGAAACATATCCCCTACCTTTTTGGCATGGTAGAGAAAGGTATGTTTTCACGTCACGTTGAGTTGTTACAGTGACATTTATGACACTTATAGAGATGGTGTTGGGTTTCCATACAGGAGTGTTCTGTTTTATTAAGCTCTTCTATGATCCTAATGGGGGAATGTGTGAGCTCCTCTAGCCCTGTAATAAGGCCTGTAAATCTCTCTTGTGTCTATTGTTCTTCCACCTTCTTCCCAGATGAAGAATGGGACATGTAGCTAGACTTTCAGGATAAGGATTTAGTTTCTGAGCTGTTTCTGAATGTTCTTTCACTCTTGGACATATACCCTCTTGATGTGCAGACAGAATTCAAAACTGAAAACACCTTGAACTTGGGGCACAAATCTGCAAGGATTGAGATGTTCTTTATTTATTGTGGGAATTAATTTCATTTGTATTTGGCCTTGAGAGAAAATGCTGTCTTTTGCTTAAATGGTGAAGTGATGCTAGCAAAAGTAACAGAGCTTTTATTCTGAAACTCTTTCTCTGGTACCATAGAGACCATTGAGGCCAAAACCATTAAAGAATTTTTAGATAAAGAATTTAGTCTTCATTCAGTATTGGTTGCACTCACTCTGGTACAGGAATGTATCTGGTATGGATACAGCAGTGTGACAATGCAGGGGCAGTTTGCATCACTGTGTAGTAGTTGGAGGAAAACAACTCTATGTCTGTCTCTAACTATGATTCTGTGTGCAAAAGATGACAAAGCCACATGTAGCTGGTCACTGTTTTCTGGGATTTGTATTAGACAACAAGAGCATATAAAATATATCTGCTTTATGACCTGAGATGTCTTCTCAGTGCTTCTTTCAACTCACAAATTTATAAATGTTGTACACTTTCCCCAAAGAGGCAACAGGCTCCCAAAACAGCTTTGTGTCTGAATGCTCGGTGACATGTCTACCACTAGTAAAAAAATTGCAACCTCCTAATCACAAAATCACACAGAAGGGCTGAGGTGGGAATGGACCTCTGGAAGTCATCTGATCCAACCCCCCTCACACTCAAGTGGGTCAACATAAAGCAGTCTTCCCAGGACTGTGTCCAAACGGCTTTTGAATATGTCCAAGGAGAGAGACTCCACAATCTCTCTGGACAACCTGTGCCAGGGCTTGATAACCCTCTGACTGAAAAAGTGTTTTCTGTTCTGTAGGGGA